TTTCTTTTTCCTGCTTAAATCTATGCTTAGTAGATCTTTATTTTTTAAATAAAGAAACAGTGATAATGACTTCTGTATAAGCTCATTGACACATTCTGTTATTGCTGAGGAAGTAGAGTGAAAATACCTTCTCCGTGGAATTCAGCTTTGTAGTCTTTATTTTTCCAGCCAGTATGTACTCAAGGAGAGGTAGAGGCTGCATGCAGCATTTGGGTTTCTGCAGGCTTCCAAAATAACCCAATGAAAGGTCACTCAGCTGCTACCACCTTGAAAAGGCAGATGAGCACACTGCTTGGAACTGATGCTGACATCAAGGGCGAGGTCCTTGCACAACTCTCCTGTTGGAGGGAAAATCTCAAAGGTGCTCAGCCTTGTCTCTGCCATCAAAACAAGGTGCTGAAATTTAAATCAGACTGGAGGCAGCCCAAGGGTTTAGGTGCCTGGCTGGCAGTGATTCACTTTCAAAAGTATCAATCTCTTTCTCTATGCCAAAAATAAAACAGTAGGAAGAGCAACGGGCAACTATAGCAGTAAAATGTTTGTATTACCTGCTAGAGAAATTGTGGGTCTTTGGCATTCCAACTCTCTAATAAAAAGTAAAAAAACAACTTAATGGCTTTGTAATGTGAAAATCTACAACAGATGCCATGCAACATCAGGGTGAAGCAAATTATTACGCAGGCCCTGCAGGCACTCAGCACCTCTCATTTCAGGAGGAAACAAAACTGAATTTCAAATTACAGTTAAGTTTGGGGAATGCTGTGGAAGAATCACTGGCTTTGGAAGTGGGGTTGAAAAGAATGCAGAAAACAGTATATTTTCGTGTTAGAAAACAGAGGGAGACCGCTACAAAAGGCTTTCTCATGCTTTTCTATTGTTTTTCACTTCAAAAAAACATTGTGCAGTTGTTAAAAATGGGATGGCTCCAAACTAACAGCAAAACTGCATGCTTATCAGTTGTAGCTTAATTTGGCTAGAGACTGAAATATGATTTTCCCCCTCTCCCCTCACCAAATTGCAGAAGTATCTAATCAAGTAAATAGCTGCAGAAGGCAAAGTACAGGCTTGTAAGCCTGTTTCTTTAGCAAAGGGAAACCAGGGCTTTTTCCATGGAATGATCCTCATGTCTGTGACATTCTCTTGCTGATTTGTCTATCCTGGCTAAGGAAGCTAAAAATTAGGCACTGTTTCAAATTTCAGATGTGTGGTAGCTAATTACAGTACACATGATCTTAATAAAGAAGAGTTATTAGTTATAAAATACATTTGCTCTAGAATTTCCTGGGTAGGAGATGGAGAGTCCAAGCTGCAGAGTGCTACTGCCAACTGGATGGCTTAGGCTGCGATTTTGTCAATTACTGTTTTTTCTATTTATGTACCTGCAAAGCAGAGATGATAAAATTTGTCTGTGTCCTAATTGCCTTGAGCTTTTAGCAAATATTTATGGACTACATGCAGACATTCAGGAGATGAGTAATTAAATTTCTACATCTTGTTAAATGTGTTTTGTAGAATCTTATCTCTTCCTGCTTTAAACAGCTTCCTCTTTCAGTCTTGAAAGCACTTTCCAGTAGAAATGTTGAAATTTAGAACAGATATTTTTATGCTAATTGGAGCACATTAACCTCAGGTCAAGCTTTGCACCATCTTCCTCACTTCAGCTTATCCTCATGTTTTGTTCTGTAACACCTCTTGACATTTAAGATGAACTGTAGATAGTAAAGATTATAAAACTGCTCCCACTTGTATAAGTAGGAGCTTTACCATTGGCTCCTCTGGAAATAGTATCAGGACCTAGAGAGATGCATGTAATGTCTTGTAAGACTAACATGCATTCTACCTGAACAAATATGACTCCGAGCGCTTTTGAAGCTTGTTCTCTGGTGCTCTGTGAAATGCATGCTTCTACTTGATGAGCAGAATATTGAAACTGTGCAGTACAACAATCTTCACATTAATTTGCTTCAAACAAAACAGCAACCCTGCAACAGGATTGACCAAAAGGCTCCCAGTCACAGATGCTAAATCATACCTGAGTGTAAATGAAAATGCATTAAATCCATGTAAGCACCCAATGCATTCATAATGAGCTGGTGCTGTCACCATAGCAAACTAATGCCAGAAACAGCTTACAGAGGTAGACAGAGCTCTTGTTTTCTAGACTCATTTATTACAATAGATATTACAAATTCTACTTAAACTTTGTTTAAATAGTCAGCACAGAGGTGGAAAAAAAAACTAAAGTAAGTCTAAGACTTTATCAAGATCTTGTTTTTCTGGAGTACTATATGTAACTCAGATATTCCTGGTTACATGTTAAAACTATCCTTCTCTCAGCTCAGAATTTCCTTTAGTTTGGGGCAGGATTTTTAAAAGGAAAAGTCAATGTAATGTACAGCCTCAGGACTTCATTTATCTGACTTCTGCCCCACCAGGAAGTACACTCTGCAGTACTGCAGTCTTAAAATGCTGGAGTTATGCATGCAGGGGTTTTGTGTGCACAGGCATGAAGTCCTGGGCTCCAGGTGACTTGAAAAATCTCTCTGCGAGAAGCGGCTCAGCAGTCACCTGGAAGTACATGGTGGGTTGTGGCAGTGTCTGAACTGGCTTGAGATCCTGTGAGCTGTAAAACATAAGTTATCAGCACAAGCATCCTCACCTTAAGATTTAGCAACAGCTATGTCAGCAGCTGAATTCAAAAGCATAAGTGAACGGAGCACTAGTTTATATTAAGTGTAGAGATGGTATACTGCCCTGTCAGCACCCTGCTAACATCCCCCAAGACACCTGAAAGTGGACTAATAGCAATGAAGAAAAATGAAGCTGACAAGATTGTAAGTTTTGCCCCAGACCTGTTTTTTCAATAGAACTGGGATACATGTTCATTCTGTTTCATCCTCTTCCTGCAATTTAACCCAAGACAACCAAAACGATGTAGTGTGAAAGCAAATTCTGAGGACCAACCTCTGACAGACCACAAGCTTTTAACTTTACAAAATAAGCAGAAAAGGACAAGAACGTACAACCTGTAGCATTGTATCCCACTTGTCCTCTCACAAGTTGACCAACTCCATTAACAGAAAATGTGGTTATGTTTGTCTGTTTTAGCTTGAATCCACCAGATTACTGTAAAGCAGCTTAAACTTGCTTGTTTTGACCCCTCGAAGGCCAGCTGCCACAGGTCTCATACCTGGGCCCTATTTCCAGCCAGGTTCACAGAACAGGCATTTTCAGTACAAAGAAAAAGCAAATAAATGCCTCTGTCCTTGGAGTGGCGACCTTGCTAAATTACATAAAGTATCCTGAGCATCTGTTGCAGGTAGGGCAGTGGCCTTCTCTTATGACAGTATTGCAGGAACATGCATTAGTTCTGGAGGATTGATCTTGCAAGGACCCATGCAAGGACATTTCAATGATAAAATGAATAGTTCTTTACGCTGATTATGATGATTAATTCTGTTATGTCAGCAGCCTTTGGCACAGCCAGCAAAAGCAACAGATTTCATATGGGGAAAAACCTGATTGAAGAGCCAAGAACCTTAAAGGGGAATTTTGTGTGGTTAAGTAATAACATTAATGAATGACATACCAACAGCTGTAATTTTACATATATGCCAAAACACACATATTCCTCAGTCCTCTGTAAGACTTTGTACTGATTTACGATTGTATTGTACTTGAAACATCAGTCAAGATAAAAAACTGGCATCGTTGCTGGAACTGACCAGCCACAGATGGACTCAAACTGTGGAAGCTTTTGGCCTCCATGAAGTTGAGCAGAAATTCTATCACAGGTGCCAATTTCACAAACAAGTAATCACTGTTGAACTGGCAGGCATTCTACCTCGCTCATTTTCAGTTTTGTCATGCAAAAGGCTAATCAAGACATCTATCAGGTATGTAATTTAAGCTGGGTAAGTCTTCACTAGTGCATATAACTGGTTTTGATTTTTGAAAGGGATTTGGCTTCAAACAATGTGGTTTCCTCTCCAGTTCTGAAGGCAAGCACTTGACATAAACTGATTGGGTCAAATCCCTCTTTCCAGTTTCTCCCCTCAGCTGCCATAATCAGGTTGTGTTCTTTGTGTGGTTTTTGTCTTGGATGAATTCCAGCTTGTGTCTTTTACGCCTTTGGTAGGAGAGGCATTTAGGAGGGATGTATTAAGGCCAGCTACCTCAAGCATGTTTTGTTAGAAAATGCTCATCTGGCAACCCTAACATCATTAAAAATTATTCTTGGTAGTGTGAGAGAAAGCACCACAAAAAGCAGGTCATTCAATAATCACTTCAGATATTTGACAGATAACAAGAAATAGCTCTCTTGCATGTTATTTAGAAAGCTGGAGTAACTTTACCTGGCTGCCCTGGAAACTTGATCTGTCTGTTCTTAGAGTTGCTATTCTCTCAACATTCCCCTTTAGGAGGAAACTAAATACAAGCACTTAGATGTGTAGATTGGTAATTAACATGTTGACTTTCAAATTATAATCACTGCAAACACTTCTGCAAGCATCACTTCCTCAGCTCAGATGTGCTGATCACTTGCCTTGGACCAGCGCATTCACACAGAACAGTATTTGAACCTGATACTTTGAATGTCCCTGTGCTTTTTCACCTTATCAGTTCATTGGGGTTGTTCCCTATCATTTTTTTCTACCATGTGCAAGGAAAAGAGTTGAAAGCTAGGCACAGAAGAAACTGGCCTCTTTTTGATCTAATGAGAAATTGTCTTACAGATTTTAGTGGCACAGAGGATACACCAACATTTTTATTACAACAAAATTTTGGATTCTCTGGAGTGCACTTGTAATGATGGCATATAGCCCCACTGATTAATATCTAATACTAAAAATGCTGGAAAAGTAATGTTCAAGTACATAGAGAGCCACATCGATTGCCTTGCCTACACAAACAAGGAAGTTATTTTAATGTTGATTTACGTTTGTATACAACCTGCTTTCTACTATTCAAGGGAGATCAATATTTATGACGATTCACTCAAGAATGCAGTTGATTTTTATTGTGCAGACCAAAAATAATGCAGTCACCAACCTACCACTACATTAATGTTATGAAATTAGTTAACAAAATAATTGTAAAAAATAACTTAATTTCTGATGAGCAAACGGAAGCAAGTAGTAGAACTTTCTCATGTTCCTGTATTGATAGGAGAAAATGGCACTGAACCATTATACTCAATAACTCAAGAACAAAACCACTTCCATTGCTCAGGGGAATAAAAATATTCCTGTTTTCTCCCCCAACCCCAAACCCAATATTGGTTTATATATTAAAAAAAAAAAAATCTCACTTGGAGTTACTGCAGAAGTTCCATGTTCTTTGCTCTATAACTTGAATATGCAAGTACCTGATAGAGCTATCCTACTGGCACGTACAGAGCTCAAGTGAAGCACTGCTTGGATCCTTTCCGAGTGTTTTTAGCTAGCCAGCGTACTAAACTTAATCTTCTGGTTCCTCATAATGTGCATACCCGCTTGCATAGGTCCTTCCTAAATTCAAATTGCTGAATACGTCTGTGGTTTCAGCATCAGAATCCTTCCCTCCTCCATCATCATCTTCATCATCATCTTCTGCTTCATATTCATCATATTCATCCTCACGGTCACCTGCATCTCCAGGCTTGCTGGAGGAGAGGTTCTTCCAGTAGGCATCATATCCAGAAGCTCCATCTGCATCTTCACCTCCAGTCTGTCGGCCGAACTTCAAAGAACGCGCTGCAGGCAGAGAAAAATCATCATGTTCCCACCCCTCAACAGCAGTTTGAGCTGAGCATCTGACATTCCATCCTTTTCCACTACTCGGCAAAGAGCACACAATGTTTGACAGCCTTTTTCTAAATCTGACGTTATCAGGTTTAATCCTCACTCTGACAGAACCTTTCTGCTACACACAGTATGTCTCCCTGAAGCCAACTTTGTATGAACACTAATTGTCCCCAGAGCATGACTTGCTTTTACGATAAAGCTTTGGTACTCTAGCCAAGAAAACCTGTAATTGGATGTGCTCTGCAGACATAATAGGTATCCTGATTGATTCAAGAGTCGTTGAGGTAGGTTGTACACAGATCATCAAATCACACTTTGAAATTCATTAGCTAGCTTCTTCTAGATGAAGTAAAGGCTTAAGCAGTTATTTTCTGCAATTTTTCCACAACTAAAATCTCAAACTAACCAAAAGCTTTCACTATTAGGATCAATGATTAAGAACAAGTGACTTCTCAGTTCTAAACTAAGAAACGCAAAGTTTTCTTAAGACAAACGTAGCAAAGCTTTGGAAAACAACTGAAAGTAACTGGACTTTACTCATTGTTCTTATGCAGAAAATTAGTCACCAATAGTGCTTGTATTGCTTATTAACTGGAGACACACGCTTACTTGACATGCTCAGATCCTTGGTCTGCTGAGTTTCATGGCCACATTTAGGACAGGGAGGCTCTTTTCCTTTTTCCTGCTTGAAAACCTTACTTCGCACATGATCGTCACAAAAGCAAGCCTGTAGGGTGAAAGAAGAGTGAGAAAGCTAAATGTTTTAATCATAGAACCATATTGTTCAGCAAGAAGCAAGCAAAAAAGTGTCTAACAGCAGCAGGGTTTTCTGGTTGGTATTAAAATTTAATGAGCTCTATCTGCAGTGGAACTGGGATCTGTGCACAGAGCAACCATCTCGATAATGAACATAGTTCCATGGCTTCCTCGGGAAGAGGCTGGATAAAAGTGTTGATAAACAAGTAGAGAAGTAGGACATCCAAGGACCATATTATAGCGCTGCTCACAAGGAGCCTGGCAAACTTTGGTTTACACTGACAAGTTTAAATAAGATACAGTCAGAGATGTACGCCAGAATATAACTATGCAGTGACCTGAAGGCAAAAGTTAGAGATAGAAATTTCGTATGTTGAGCTCCAGAGTGCTAGTGAAGATACCTGGAGAAAGGAGCACTTTGGAAGATTAAATCAATGCCATGGGAGGCTGCAGGGAAAACATATGGAGAGTAAGAAGAGTAAAAGTAGGCAATGAACCAGCACCTGGAGAAATCTGGGCAATGCTGATGATGAAGCAGGTGGAAATTTTATACAGAATTACTTCTGAGTGTGAAAACCAAAAGCCTGGCATCAGCAAATTAATGTCTGGATGTGTAAAACCAGATTAGCTGTGGAGATCGTTTCTACTGGATACAGGCTGTGGTGTTGCTGGCCAGATCATCACTTGACTGTTTAAAAAAACCCAAACTTTTTCACTTGTCTTAGACCTACACTGGATCAAAACGAATTCCAACCCCCTGGATTCCGTTTGGGACCAAGGATTTGTTTTGGTTGGTTGGTTTGTTGTTTTTTTTTTTTTAAGGGTCAAATATGGTACAGCTCTAGTTTAAACAGAGGGCTTGACAAAGTGAAAATCGCCTCTCTTGGCATAAGGATGCACAACACTGGCTTGTGGTTAACAGGCAAGCACAGACTTAAAAAAAGCCCTTTTGATCCCCATAAGCCTGTCTCTAGGCTTCAGATATTAATACAAAAGTATAAATATTTTTTAAGAATGTAGGGGAAGATGTGAGAAGGCCTTGGAGGCTAAGAAAAGTAAGTCTAAAGTCATAGCTACTTGCAACTGTCTTTACCTTACAACGCAGACATGAATGCTGCCCAAGTCTGTTACAGGAAACACCTGTTGGAGAAAATCAATATGTAAAATTCAGTACTAAAAACAGATCTGTGATGCTTTTAAAACCTTGCAAAAGTCTGTAATAACACAGCTGAGGCATTTATTTTTAATTTCATAACACAACTGCCCTTTGGCAACATGCATCAGTTATTTTAGCATACAGTACCATTCTATTAAGAGTTTTTCAAGTCTAAGCCTCATTGCAATAATGTCATTTGACACAAAAAATAGAAGTTCAAGAGGGGCAAAAAGTTTAACTATTACTTGAGTTTCTAAACTTTTGCAAACAGAAGTTTTAGAACCAGTCTGGTATTAAGTGGTCATCTTGTGTTTCCTTCTCTCACAATGTCAAAAGAAGGAGCACTAGCATTTTACAGTCACTTTAAACACACCATGACAGCCTTTACCACCTTTATCTCATTTAAAGGGGATGTGATAATACTTCAAGCTTGCAAACCTCCAAAGTTCAAACACTTGTGTTCTGTATTTTGTCATGTCCTCTGGAAATATATTTTATTGTACACAACTTCAGATGAAAATTTATCTGTTCTGAAAAGAATTGTAGCTGGCACATGAGCTACGAAAATCAGGATTGGTGCTCAAAATCTTGCTTGTCTTGAAGCTTCAAATCTGTTCCTTTAGTCCACTAGAGGGAGTAAAGGCAACTACCCAGCAACTGGCAGCAACTGCAAGCTGGGTGAACTGTAGTTACTACTCGAAAGGCGGTGATACATATTTTATCAGTCACTGTGCAAGTACTTGTTCCCTTCCTCTTTGCCTTACCCCTGAGGCAGCAAAGTTTTTTTAATCTTAAGTAATAAATATAATAAGCTTTTCACATGAGCAGGACAGCCTCAGGATTTAGTACTCTTATGTATTTAAAGATGGAATGGGAATTGCTAATGCATATATATTCATCATTCCTGGAGTATCTGCATTTACAAAAATTCTTGGGTAGTGATACAAAGTAAGAGTACCTTTGTCACTGTTAGAATGGGATTTAGACTACAAACACATGACTGCATTTAAAGTTCATGTATTCTGTAAAAGTTCAGGTTTTACAACCTTGTTACCACACACTGACAAAATTCCTGCCTCTCTACCAAAACTGCACTGTGCCACAAAACGTTGAACAACCTCAAAAAAGCAATTTCTCCACTAAGGGTGTGACACACATCTGTGAATTAAAAGCTTCCAGCAATCACTGAACAAGTATTCATGTGAAATAGCTGATGCTGCTTCAATATTGCTGTGCAGGAAGGTATTTTGGCAGAATACATGGAGGGAAGCTAATCAAGGCTTAGAAAATAGCCAGCTGGTGAAAAAAAAGGATGGGAGATGAAAAGGAGATGTGAAATTTCAAAACATACAGACTATAACACTGAAATTGACAACTATTCTGAATTGGGAGAAATCAATTAGGACAAGAGATTAGGCAGTTCTGAAGAAAAGAGTCTCATAGATGACAAAGAGCACTTTGAATTTCTGTGATAAGGATTGAAAACGTTGTAACAGTCAAAATACAAGTTTTGGAAAGGACTACTGCTTGTCTTATGGGACAAACCAAACAGTAGTAAATGGTGGATAGAAATGAAATACTTCTAGAAAAGATTAATTATTTCAAATAGGCATAGTCTTGGTTTGTGTTTGTTTTGGCTTTTGTTTTTTAGCTTCCCTTAATGTTTCCCTCTTTCAGCCAAAGACAAGTAGAGGACTAGAATGAGCCATCCTCTCACAAATATGAGTTTCAGTTTTGGTCACAAAATTAACTGAAGTTCAAGAGGATAAAAAGTCTTCAAATACCTGAAGACTTTATACCTATCAATAAAAGTGGACACATCTCAACATTCGATAAATCACTGACACACATGTCCACCATCTACTGGTCAGTGAAGAAACTAATACTGAGCTCATCCTCTGGATGAACACTGTTTTTTTTCATTCCTTACATGCTCAGGCTGTCTCTCTGACTGATGATGACTACTTCCTGAGTCACAGCCTTGCTCAGGACTCTCTGCTTTTGCCAAATCAACAGATGCTAAAACCCTTCACCAATATTCAGGCCATTCACAGCCATTGGGGAAATTTTAGCCAGACTAACACAGGTAGTGTTATTTAGGGCAGCTGTTTTCCATGAGGAACAGGTATCTAGAAATAGCTCATCATATTGACAGAGAAGTAGAAGAGAGCTCCTTGTCTGAAGAGCTTTGTGGAGTAAAAAAACAGCTTCAGCAGTTCCACCATTTTTCTGCAGTCCTGGCCCCTGCCAACACTGAAACTTTAGACACTGCTGGATCCTGCAACGGCAACTTCCCAGGAAAAGCCTGTAAGGGCCAGGCAGGGAAAAAACTGCCTCATGGAGTCAACATGGATGAAGGCCAGAAACAAAAGCTCTAGTCTAGATAATGGATATCAAAAGCAAGCAGAGAGGAAACAGGCCCCTTCCTCCAGTGGTGGTTACAGCTGTTTGAAAAGGTGATGGAGAGTATTCTTGAGCACAGAAGAAGAAGCAATTGGAGAGTCTTCTTAGCTGTGGTGAAAGGGATTATGAATTAATAACTTACATTTAAATGTCTCTGCTTCCAGAACTTGGCAGCTGGCTTGATGTTCAAACTGATCATCTTCACAGAGAAAATCGTGGCAAAAAGAGCAGGCAAATATTCTGCCTCCTAAAAGATTTATCAAAGCAAAATAATCAGCAATGGGCACACGCATCAAGTTCTGTTCTGCAAACAAGTTAGGCTGTGGTTCTGACTGAAGTTCTCTCTTCTGTTACAAATGCTTTAACAAAAGTCCTATATTAGACACTGCCATCCATTATTATACTGAAAAATACCATGTATCCTACAACAGGAGAAAGCATAAATACAGAGCAAGTATTAATTGTACTTTTCTTCATTTTAATTTGACTATGGCATTAAGTATTTTTTTTTTAATCAGATCATTCTCTTTTATTCAGTTTCCTTCCCTCCTCCTCCCTCACTTTTGGTGCACACTTGGAATAAACCCTTCAATGTATTCTACAAATTGAGATGAGTATGGTTTTCTAAGCAACTGGGAATCCAAATACTTATACTAGCACAGAAGAATGGAGGGGATGGAAATAGCAGAAAATAGTGTGTTGACAATTTGATGCAATGTTTAATTATGTGAAGCACTCTGCTGATAGGACAGTTAATAGTTCAGATTACATAACCACCCCTGAACTGAATACTGTATGTTCCTGAGCAGATCATGTACATTCCCCACTCGTAAGGTCTATTTTTAAAATGGGAAGAATGCTTTGCTTTGAACAAACATGCTGCAAGAACTAATCAGTGAAGATTAAAAAAGCTATGCTATGAATATAGGTACAATAACTTAAGCAATGGGAGGAGAAAAGTACCATTTAGATTTTCCGAAGTGTGAGCAACCTACCATGGTCCCAGACGCTTCTTTCACACTCAATACATTCTGCATCTGCGAGAGGGCAGGTACACGCATGTGTGCTCAGACACTTCCTCCCATGACACACCCAAGCTTCACAGAAATCACAGATTGCACCCTGTAATTACAGAAAGATGTCATCTTGGGACTTATGCAATACCTAGAGGGAGACTCTTTATTCCATAATTCTAAACATATCCAAGTACCACTTCTCTCAGTGGGTTCATTCCAGTTGAGTGAGACATTATGAACCACATCTATATTCCTATTGAGACGCTCCACAGTTCATCTTGTTTGTTTGATATTCACTTCTGCAGGGTTAAATATGATGTAAAATAACTTGGTTTTCTCCTTTTCTCTTTTTCACATTTTCCATCTTAACTCTCATGCATGAAAATTGTGTCCCCCAGCTGAAACCTAAGATCTGTAAATGATAACAATGTTCTGGCAAAAATGCAATTTGAAAACATGTCCTGGAAAATGTCACTAGATTCTTAAAGCTGAAATCACTTTTTTGGATTTTAAACTATGCTATATTGGAACACAAGCTCTGCAGCGAGCAAAGATCAAATAACTCCCTAGAAATAAGTTACTCTTTTAAGTACAAGATCTACGCACTGACTGTCCCTTAACTGTAGCATTTTAGGAAGCCACCTCAGCCCTTATGTAATAAACTATTACGTGCATTACATGCACACAAAACTAAACCAGTGGTGAATCCAAATTAATTATTGATGAAAATATTGTACCACTGAACCCGTGAGTTTAGGAAATTTAGACTGGGAAGGCTGGCTGTGCTGATGAGAAAAGCTGACTGCAAACTGGACGCAGAAACAGGACTGAGGTTTAGCCCATACAGCATTTAATCCAGAGGCTATGATGTGTCTCAAAACTTGCTTTCCAGAATGCAATAGTAACTTGTCCTTCAAAGAAGAAAAATTCAAAGGCCAAAAACTATCACTAGGAGCAAAAATGATTTTTTTTTTTAATTAAAATTCCTTCCCAATGCCATAGAACAGATTTCTCTCTCTGATAATCACAGTCTCTGCATAGGGCCTGCCACCAACACAGATCTGTTAGCATCCAGGACACATTGGGAGTTTGCAGTTGTACCTAAAAACGCAAGATTTGGGGTTTCAGTAGAAGGGAAAATAAGTTTCTGATGTTAAAATGTTAAAAAAAAAGTTGGCATGGTGCATGCTGTCATTCCATAATCTGGTTTATCCTTTTTCTTTTTCAGAAAGATTTGCATAGCATAACCTCATGCAGCAATAAAAAGCTATAATTCTGTATACGTACCACCATTGCTAGTCCAGTACTGTACACACCAGCATGTTTTATAACACAGTCTGAAGACTTCATCATGCATTTGGTTTTTCCTGTTTAGAAAAGACAAGGAACCAGAAGAAAACTATATAAAAGATTTAAAATTAGAATGAATGTTCATACAAGAGCAGTACTTCAACCAAACACCTGTGCTTGATTGTAAATCTAGGTAAAAATGATGCAAACAAATGTCTGCAACCTGCAGTCCACCCTCACATCTGCCTTAGATCAAATTAATTATTGTCTGTTTTCAGCCCAAATCTCTTTCCTCAGTACTGAGATAATAAGGCAATGTGTTGTATTGCTCTCTGTTTTGAGTCACTGGCAAGAATTTCAAATGTCAAAATATTTGAAATGCTGTCAAACCAAAGAACAAAATTAAGATGAAAGCCAAGCAATGACATCTTTAAAAGTTGCATTTGAAGCTGCTCGTTCTGCCTCACCATAAAAAGCAGTATGTGCTCTGTGCAAGGTTGAGGCCCTCTGCAAAAAAAAACATATGCACATGATGATTTAATTTCTTACATGTACTGGGATACTTAGGGTTTTGGTGGTGGTGGATGGGTTTATTTTTTTCTCTCTTCCAAAACTGTATTAGCAATTAATTCCTAGACAAAATAACTCCTCTTAAATGCAGGTATTAGTGGGAGAAAAAACCCGTCTGTATTTAAGTCATTCTGGCACAAGCAAGTAGTTACAGTGACAACTTTCCCTTACTCCTTGCCTCTGACATAAATACCTCTGACAAAAAGACACACGCCCTGCATGCACTTAAACAAGCAAAAAAATCTTGTACTTAGCCCAGGCTACTGCAGTGGAGCTTTATCGCTGGTTTAAGCTGCCCTGCCGCAGTTCCCTTTGGTGAATCTGCTATTGCCTGCTTAGAGAAACCACCAAAGGGGTGCTCCCTGCAACCCCACTGAGGAGCTGACAAAGCCAAACTGTACTCTGAAAACATCATTAAATTCCAGTATGCAGCATCTAATGAGCTTTGTATTAAATCACACCTCAGACACCAAATGGCACTTGGAGTGGTGGGCTGAGCTGGGGATTGGAGGTGGTGGGGGTATGACTGGATCTGGAGCACTGCAGCACAGCTACGTTGCGCCCATCCCTCAGGAATTCCTCTAAGAAAGTTTCTTAGAGAACTGGTTTATAGGAGCTGTCTCCAACACTTGATTAAGCACCAAACAGCTCTAATAATGGTCTTTGTTTTGGAAAACCCTGGGACTTAATAGAATTCTGTGGTTGTTATTAGGGATGCTTTTCCTCCAGAAACATAGTGCAGATTAAGATAAATTCAACAGACAGGAGTCAACTTCAGATGTATAATATACTGCAAGACAGACAGCACCTTTTTACTGCTCCACTGCATGATGACAGAAGGAAGACTTACGAAGGATGACACACTGCCATTGCACACTAACAGCCTGGCTTCTAGAAATGCTCAGAAACTGCAGGTCCCAACAAAGGCACTGGAAGCTGCAGATGTCAGCAGCACTGACAGTCAAACTACAAAAAGAGCCAAACTGCTTAACTGAAAATCTGCAAGGACGTGTTAAGATGGTATAACAGCAAAATTCACCTCAAAGTATGAAATGATTATCAACGTCCCCTGGAAGCAAGCAGCTGTTTAAAAAGAAACGGAAGGGTATTTTATGCTGATTTGGAGCAGAGTTCTGTCATTAGGAGTCCTTCTCTTCTGACTTCAAAGCATCAGCCCTCTAGCATATAAATAACATGACCAGGTTGTTCTCAATCCTAAAAGGCAGCAAGAAAAATTCTTCCAAAATCAAATACTGCAGACTTGCACACTTCTTGGGGCCAAAGGGGCATACACATTAGCACATGATCAATCAAGATCTCAAGGAGGAGATCCACAGCAGATTTAAAAGAACCTGCTCCACAAATCACAAAGGTACTTTAAGACAAACATACTCTAAGTGCAGAGAGTTTAACACCACAAACGGTTCTGAGGATAGCATGTTCTCCTTCATTATTTCTACTTACCACATTGTGCACAAATGGGTAGTTTTTGAACTGAGTTGCAGAAGTAGCAAAAAGCTCTATTCTTCTGTCGTCTAGGCATACAGAGGGGGAAAAGAAAAAGCAACGTAAGCAAGCATTAGAAAGACATGTAAAATATTTGAAACCAATTCAATTGCTAGGTTTAGAAAGGAAAAAATACTTACCTTTGGCACTTATCACATTCCTAAAGAAAAGAAATGACACTGGTAATTATTTTTATTCTACATAAAATAAGACCTAGATTCAGAGACCCTGCAGTGACTCTGAATTAAAGTTCTGATCAGAAACCAAACTTTTTAGTCAAGTATTATACCTCTGATGCAAATGTAACCTTAATTATAAAGGATGGATGGTTGGAGGAATGACATTCTAGTGGCACTAAATACAACTAATATTTATGACTGAGTTTACATAATTTAAAATCAAGTATTGTAATATAAAATACGTTTGGTTATTTTACCATCGAAGCATTACAAGGATGTTTGGCTAAATCTATGTTGGCTCTTGAAGCCCTTATCTGCTTTTCACGTTCACGGCGGTTCTCAGCTTTCTTACGAGCACCAGTCTTCTTCTTAGGCATTTTTCACGACCTGTAGGGGGAAAAAAATAGGTTTGTAATGAATGCACACAAAACTATGTATGGAACTACATGGATACACAAGACAAATCCAGCACTAAAACTGGATCTTGGAGTTCCCATGTTAACTGTGCTTCATCTCCATTTCCTTTTTTAAAGGTTTCTTTTCAACTGTAGAATAGGGGGCCAGTCCCTTAGCAAGAGTCATGTGATGAACCATGAAGAATCTTGTGATCTATAAAAGACTTTGCTGTCTTAAAACTTTGCCTTAACTATCTTTGAAGTGTTTTACCTTTAAAAAAACAAAGCCTAACTGCTATGTTTTGCTGGTTTGTGATGGGCCTCTGGTTTTGTTTTGCCTTGTCTATTTGTTAAGGACAATATTCAGTTCATTTCCTCTTTCACTTCGCTCTCTTCTGATGCTCACTAACTACTTCAATCAGTTGAAAAGGATTCTTCAGGTGAGCGAATCATGGTGTACTGCAAAAATGCAAATATCACACTTCATGAAGGCTTAGAAAACAAAATGTCATTACATGGATTTAAGAGTTAAGGCAAAGTGATGTCTGTACTGCTTATTTATCATTCTTGCACATTAGCAATAATGGAGATGAGTGTGCATTGATGTATTGCTTTGAAGGCACCACTGTTTCCCAAGAAGGGTTTATGCTAATTTAAATCCATGTAGTTCAGTGCATCCATCCGTCTAGTTTTAACATCCTAGGAGGTAACCAGTGTAATACAGTGGTGAGACCATCAGGGAATCAATCAGATCACTGCTCTCCTGTCATCTCCATAGTGAACTGTGCAGTACTCACATATGCTATATTACTCTGTGCTTATAATAAATTAGGCAAGTGTTATACTGACTTCATGAAATGGCCAACTGGGTGATTAAAGGTGTGGTCTGATGTTAGAGTTTCTCTTGTTAACACAGGCACCCAAGATAGACACCCTCCCTTATGATCCGTCTTTATTATCCCCTTATTTCTGCTGATGTAACTGTTGGTGTTACATTCTAAACCATATACAGGTTAAAAACAAAATCAAAAAACCCAAACCGCATGATGGGACAGCTCTGACCAGAGCAAGGTTCTGCTGATTCCAGTAGGTCAATGTGTGGCTACTGGGGCCACTGGGCTGAGGAAATGGGAGGTACCTACTCTCGCCAGCCTCATCCCTAACTCCAAGCAGACATGTAGAAATGCATGCTGACAGCTGTAAAGAGAACTGTCGCATCAACAGGCAGTGAACTGCAGTAGCAGTTTAAATTTGGAAGAAAAATTAGTATCTTTGTTCAAAAGGTCTTACAAAATAAACCAAACAATCCTAACTTTTCCACATAAAGAAATATATTGTCCTGGCCAAATACTAAAATTTGGTTTTTATAGAACACATAAATCAGTTTTCTCACCCTGTAGCATTCTGCACTGTGTTTAAATTGTATTAGTGTCATATTTTGTAGTCAGAATCGTATTGCTGAGATGCCTGCTGGCAACTGTCATTATTCTAGAGCATGACATTTCTGATGCTGGGAGTCCAATATGAGGCTGCACACTAATTTTCAAACTGCTTGAATGCCAAGTTAACAACAGAATCTAATGGTTAGTATTTATACCTTGACTTCTTCTCATTGCCTCATAACTGAAAACAGCAAAATGACACACTGTTTTCATAAAAAACACCGTCTCAATGACTACCGAGGACACAGATTATGAGAAATAAAAGCTTTAAGATAGTAGTTTTTAGAAAGTTTGCATTAAGCTAAATAATAAAACTGCAAAGTTGAGTCCTTTGAACAAAGCTATCAAATCAATCCAGGCTTTTGAACACCAGCCAATAAATAACTATCCTACAGATCAGTATTCTATCATTCCCTCTGAGCTTCCATTTAAGATGTTTCTGATCTTTTCCCTGAGTTCTAAGTTTTTAGGGAAATTACCATCTTTTCATTTTCTGACTAGAACATAATAGTGTTATGATGGCAGAAATTATGACAGTAAAAACTTCGTTTACCTGCAAAGTCCTTTCAAATCAGAGTATCGCTCTTGTAAAAGCATTGATCAGTATTTAAAAATGCCTCTGCAGTATATTCTATTTCCTCTTTTTGGCAACATTTCTGTCATCTGAGGCTAAATGATGACTTAAAAATGCATTTAGGCACCACAACACATTACCAAATGCTCAGACAGAAATGACTCAGTGGAATCTGTCTGTGGCCCAGCTCCCCTGCAGGGTGCATGGGACAGAAAATTGCCTCTCAGGAGGACCAAAAACAAGTTATCAAGGAAATGCTTATGGTGAGCTACTCGAGACCTACCTGCCAGAAAGATTTTGCTTAAACAGTTATTTCTGGTGAAGGCAGAGACTTACAGCCATGCTTGCACCTCCTTTTCAACTTATGATGCTGTTACGAAAGAGACTGCCCAGGACACAGCAGGTCCAAGCCCCAGAAGGTATGACCCTGCTGCCCTACACAGCGTGCAAGCTCCTGAACTGGAAACACTTCTGCACAAGGAGGTTTTCTCCATTTTAAGTTTTCTGCTCTAGGGCAAATGTTCCAGTGACTGGGTCAGAGCAGCAGCAGGAACAAGAGCGGTTCCCCAGCTTAATGGCTGGTGGTGTGGCACACACAGAAATCACAGGTGTCACGAGGCTGTGCATAATGTAATCAGTAGTTAAAAGGGAAAGCCCTAAAATGTGTGTTGGGAGGACTGGGATCTCTGCACTTTGTGTTTCATTCTGTAAAAGTTTTGTTTGCTGTTCCTCGTGCTCTATTATTTGGCAAGGGAAATACAGGCAAAGACAGCAGGGTTCCCACCACAGCTCCAAAGACTGCTCACGTATTTAAACTGATGGTTGTGCTACGTCAAATACATAAACAATGACTGGCATCTAAATTCTGCAGAGGTTGTACCATGTGTATGCCATTCTTCCCCCCTCTTGAAGACTTGTCCTTGACGAAGTATCAAAGACACACACCAAGTTTGCAGCAGACAGGAAAGCAGATTGCACCAGCTGCTTTCTGGATCTCTGTTCTGAGCACGACATTCCCTTGCGTCATATTATCTTATGTGATATGCTAACCACCCTGCTGTCACAAATATAATGAACAGCTGTAACAAGCTATTCATCTGGGGATGTGGGGGAACTGTTGGTTTCTCTTGTCATGCAACTCAAACACTAACACCCAAAGACGTTTTCATATTTCAAGATTTCTTGTACTTGACCATCAAATAGCTTCTACTCAATGCATATACATCAAAAGAAGAATCAGGGTGAATTTGCTGGGTCACACCTGATCCCATTCAGAATTCAACAAGATCTGTTTTAACACCCTATACAAGCTTACAACGTTTAAGAAAAAGAAATCCTGCATTAGCACTATTCTGTAGTTACGTCACTCCAGTCCGTGATTCCCTCTCTTAATGAGCTCACGTTCAAGGCACCGGGACTTCAGTGTCTTACTCGTATGTGAGTAACGCAGGGGTGAACAGCGCCTGCAGCCGCAGTGCCTGGGGGCAGCTGCCTTGTGGGTCCGAGGTGCACGGTGTTCCCCTGGCACGTCTCTGACCAATCCGATTCCCCCTCTGGAAACTCACCGATAACAGCTGCGCAGCGTGAGAGGCCGACGCGCTCTCACCGCCCGACTTAAGGCTGTTCCGTGAAACGCCAACAGCAGACGAGCTTTTCGCAAAGCACACCTTGTCAGCTTGCGGTATTTCACCTCATTTTTAGTGTTTTACCTACGTCCCCAAACCGTGCCGCCAACACGTTTCCAACCTGGCTCGACGCGCTCCGTGTTTCCCGGCACTGATCTCTGAGGAAACCAGCCACCGCCTCGCTGGCTCAGGCGGGGAGGCCACGGCGGGCCGGGGCCGCCAGCCCGCTCGCTCCCTCCGTCCCTCCGCTCCGCTCCCCTCCCCTCCCGACCCACCGTCCCACAGGCACCGTTGCCCTCCGCGCCCACCTGGCTGCAGCGGCTGTGCGGAAGCCGGAAGCGGCTCGGTGCGCTGCGGTGCACTGCCCGCCAGGCCCGGCCCGGCGCGGCAACGCTGGAAGGTTCCGAGGGGCGCCGCTGGGACCGGGTCTCTCAGGCGGCCGTCCCTCTCCCGCCCTCGCCTCACGGTGTGAGGCGCCGCACGCCCGGCCGGCAGTCGGGATGAGGGTAGAGGGGCACACCGGGAGCTGAGGGGATCTGGGGAGAGGCAGAAGGAGCTGAGGCTGTGTCTGGGGGGGGTTAGGGAGAGAAACAAGTGGTAAAATAGCAAGCCGGCGCTTCTCCTCACAGAACGGCAGTGTCCGCTGGTTGAGCATCGAATGTCTGGGAGCCAAGGGCACGATTTTCATATTGCAGGCAGAGGCGTGAGCAGAGTTTTGGGAGGAGACATCAAGTAAATACATAGATAACTGAAGCCAGCACTCTAAGCAGGAGTAGTTAGCACCCGCAGCTTTGTGTACTGCTGAGCACCTGGTGCACTTGAATCTTCTTGGATTACAAAAAAAGCCCAAACAGTTATCTCCCCATGCATGTTTGTGTCCTGAAGAGGAAAAAACAAAACCAAAACAAACCAAGCAACAACAAAACCCCACACCTTTTTTAGTGTTATTTTGGGTCTCCTAACCAACATGATCTTTCTCTTCTCTTGGTTTTACTGTGGTTGGGAAATGGTCTAAAATGTTTTTATAAGCTGTTTGCATGGATGTTACTGCTGGTTGTTCCATCCTCAAATCTGGTTTGATTTCATGGCGATCGCCCCTCAACTTTTACTTGACAGAGACCAAATTTAGGGCATAGTAATTGCAACAGTTAGTTGCGATTGTAATTGATTAGAGTTGGCACCTGAAAAGTTATCTATGAACTCTTTCGTTAGTGGCTTCAAAATGAAGTATTTTTTTAATCTTAATGGTAAGAATACAATGTAGCTTGAAAAGGGAAATAATACCTGTGCCATTAAAAAAAAAAAAACAACCTTCAAATCAGCTCTGTCTCGCCTGAGGTTATTATGCAAGTCCTGCGTTGTCACAGATCGGCTTGCCTTCCAGAAGAGTTCAGCCCGTTCCTCAGCAATTTCTGCTGATTTCCCAGCTCAGCCACCTAGAGGTCTGTAACCTGGCGATGCTTCCTTGCGTTCTGCGAGAGCTGTGAGCTCTGGAACTCGTTTTGGTTGGCACTATTCACAGGTACTACACGGGGTGTGAAAGGGTGTGAAGTATGCGGTGAAGGCAGCTGTAGGTTCTTGCTGCGCCCTTTTGTTGATACGTGAGATGAGCCCTTGCTTCATTCCTCATAACTGGCATACCACACAAGTGAAGGATGACATAAGGATGTCTTTGTTTCATTTTAATACCAAAAGTCCTTCATGCAAGTGTATTTATTGTGCATATTGCCTAGAAAACCCTTTTGAAAATCATTAAATGATGTAGCGTACAGCTATTTCATGAAGATCCGTGCAAGGATCACAGAGCAGTTACATTCCAGTGTATTTCATAGTCTTTTGCCTGGGAAGCATTTAGCATTTGATACATGTTTCACATAAATAATTCCTAGGGTGCTGTTCTATTTCTTGTGAGCTTTGATCATCCCTTCATTCAGGTGGGGTGGTTGCATTGCTTCACACTGTACTTGGTCATGAACTTCTTACTGGAAGTTGGCTGCTAGTTATGAAATATGATTTTGGCTTCCATTGCCTTTTCCAGGAAGACTCTTTTAACTTTTGTGAGGCCAGGGTTGCATCTCCCACAACAAATTGATTGCTTGTTATGCTTTTCCTTCCAGATGTAATCTTCACACCAGGTTAGTGGAACACACAGAAAGAGGCATTATTGTTTAAGACAAAAATTCATGATGATCACATAACCGGACGTTTCTTCTTTGTAAGAAAGTGTGTGGAGAAGTCATTTTCAACTCTTGTCAGTAGCCATGGATATGTGCTACTTAACTAACAACCTAAGTAGAAAATAAGGTCTTTTGGGAGACCTTAGAGGTTTTTTGTGTAATTTTGACTTTTCCAAATGAATGCCATTAATCATTACTATTCTTTTATTCTGATTGTGACCATTGTGGTCTGTTTTAGGCAGCCACGAATGCAAGAACACAATGAGAATAAATGATATAGCATTTGAAGAAAATACAGACAGAAAAGGAGATAGGCAGACACTAACATTTTCATCTTGGTCTCACTTAAATGGCTTTTTAAGCAGGTGTTTTATTTTATCTTGTGAAACTGTATCTGCCTCGATTATGTTCCACAAACCACCCTCTAGATGGCAGGGGTTAGTCACTTCATTCATGAACAGCAAAGTACCTTGTTTTCAGAATTAGTAAAGTAGTCTAGGGCTCTAATACAAGTGAATAAGGAAAAAATTAGATGAGAATAACCAATTTAGAGCGTACAAAATTTGTATTTGCAACTCTGGACTAGTCTCCAGGGAACTGTTGCAGACTACTGTTTCGAAGGCACATGCAGAAATTAGCAAGAGTCACCCTAATTTTAAAAGGTGTTTCAGTGTAAGAGAAGCCATGGGAGGACAGTGTGTGTGTTTCTGAACTATAATCGTTCCATATTACCTTACGGAGAATCAGAACTGTCATGTTTTTGCTTAATGGCCACTGTGTAGCTGAGAAAACAGGACAGGACTCTTTGAGGGCCTCCCTGTGTTGTCTAACAAAGGTATTTGTCTAGTCAAGGGCTTGCATGACAGCACAAGTAGCAGTGACTGTCTTAACCCTAAGCTATGCCACCAGCAGAGTAAAACCTGTATACTAGAGAGAACTGGCAGTGAAAGTCACTCTTTTAAATGAAATAATGCGATGGCAGCACAGCTGTCTTGGTTGGTATTCACACATTAAAAGGCATACTCTGCAGCATTCTTGTCTTACTCTGCTACACCACCATGCATCTCATAGTTAGTTTCAACTATGCAAAGGGCTACAGGATGCTAATAAATCAGAAACCCTCTGAAATTTATCTCTATCCAGGGTGCAGATCAATGACATTTTGGGCAATCTCTACCTCACTCCCTTTTTCATTCATGAAAAAGGCAGGCAAACCAGTAGCACTGTGGATTGCATACTGATGTCTGGTCAGACACAGATTTTTAAGGCAGTAAATTCGTAAACATTTTAAACAGGAATAATTCAGGGAAAAGAAGTGCTGGGAACAGGTGTCTGAGAGAAGGTGGGGGTTGTTTTATTCCAGTGACAAAGCTGAAAAGTACTGTTGCAGGGCAGTGTACCAGCTTGTGTGGACACTAACCATCTTCAGAACTGTCTGCTCAGTCCTTCATCTGCTCATCTCATAGAAATTCTTCCTTTCCAGTGAGGGCATGTTTCAGTGATGGACACTCATTTATTCCTTAAGCTAATCAAATAATAACAAAGGATTCATGCCATCTTGCTTGCATTATTGAAAAGTATTGAGATCAGAAAGGAAAATCAGGAAATTGTGTGCACAGCCTCTATCAGAATGGCAATATTCTGGGAGAGATAGGACCTTCATATGCAGTGATGCTGGACTGTGCTGGAGAACATTGAAACATTTTTACTGTATATATCACAGCCTTTTGCTGTAATAGCTCAGTCCCTTTAAAGATACAAGAAAGCGTGTTAACTATCAACTTGAAATAAATACTGACCTGACTTCTTGTAATTTACTTTTAATTTAATACACTGCAATTTCTTTTTCTCTAAGTAATACGCTTGTTGTGATCTAATTAAGCCCCTACCTATCCCTGTAATTATCTTCATTATTGCAGTGTCTCCTCACAGCACTCAATATGTTTGCCTCCCTGGGGGTTGCATTGTAAAATGGGTGCAGCATATACCTTTCTAACTGACCTTTGAAACAACATACATCAAATTTAATTTGTTTTTAAATCCTGGCCTTGCAGCAACTGACCTTAAAAGTCATGTCAATATTTGTTTGATGTAAGATAATTTTGTCTGCAGACATTTATCCTTGCTGATTTAACCGCATAAAGAAAAGGGAAATAAAGAAAAGAACTTGGGGCAAAAATCTTTACCGATGTCTACTGAATTGGCATGTTCAAATATAGTATTTTAAAATAGGCCTTCTTGAATTAGGTGTTGGAAAGATTTGTGTGTGTGTTTTCTTCATGCTATTACAACTGATGCTTACAATTGTTGATCTTAGCCCTGGAAAATTATTCCCCAAGAAATTTCTGAATTGTTATTTTGCCTGGTCAATGTTTTGAATGTATCAAAAGGGAAACAAAAAAAGAAGGATATAAAAGAAAGAGAATTTGCTCTTAAGTGATTAGACTTCTGATTCAGGAGCCCACTCAATTGGTAACTTCTTTATTAAAATCTATTATTCTTTCCTATGATATTCAAGTTGTATATTTTCACATTTCTTCCATGGCTTCAATGAAGAGCTGAACAGCATTTTAGCATGGTAGTTTGGTGGGGCTTTTTTGTTTTGGTTTTATTTTAAGATGGAAGACATGCAGAAAAGCTAATGTTGTGATTTCTGTAATGCATTTAATGTTGTATCATATGTTAATTTTCATACATTAATTAAGATTGCTGAGGTGAGGGGGTAGTGCAAGACTAATCAGATACTAATTTTCTAACAAAAGGGAAAAGCAATAAATATTTGTGATGGAAAAAGAACTTGTTGGCTGGTAGCTAGTTTTTAGTATTGTTTTTCCATGATGAGATTGTAGTGTCGTAAATTATCTTGTTTCTCTTTCCTCTGACCCCACAAAAAGGCTGGTACATGGTGATAAATTTGCTGTGTATGTGACCCTGGGAGGCTTTGTGTGTGAAGAAAAGGAGGGAGACACCTGATAGAAACAGAGGCACCTGTGTGACAGAAAAAAAAACCCACCGAAATCAAGGTCAGAGAGTGGATGATAAGAATTTCTCTCACAGTGCTGGAGGCTTGTCA